TTTTCTGATGAAGGGTCTAGGCCCGAAACGTCAGCCTCTCTGCTCCTATGATGCTGCTTGGCCTGCTGTGTTCATCCAGCCCTGCACCTTGTTGTCTCGGATTCTCCAGCATCTGCAGTTCCTACTATCTCCACTCACACTGTACTATTTATGCCCAGTGAGGAGCAGTTCCATGTCATCGTCTCAAAGTTGCTCCAGGGTCCTGAAAGCCCTTATGCGACACTGGGTTGTGTAGAACATATCAAACTGAAGCACAAGACCCAGTCACATTAAGACCCAGAGTTTCATTCTATCAGGTTGACCCATGTGTGGAAGTCTAGCTGGGCCCACCAACCTCCGGCAACCAATCATAAGCCACTTACATGCTTGCCAAGCGAACCAACCTTAGTCAGAAACCAGCAGATATAACCCAAAACTATGTAGCCAGCAATCTCCAGCTACAAGTCATTGTAATCCAGGCATCCAGCAGCAGTCAGTCACAAGGATTGAGTCAAAAGCGTTGACGTGGGGGAATGTTGGGAGGGCTACAAGAGAAGGAAGGTTGATAAATGTAGTCTGGAGGGAATATTTAGGACCCTTTACCTATAGGAGTGTGTGGTTAAGAGAGCACGAACCCAATTGTATCATCATTCCTACTCATGCCAACTTCTCCCGCCAATCTATGTTGGCACTCCGTATCAGCTATGGACAGTGGTAATGTGTTCAATCTGGCCCACCACCTACTCTTAGTATCACTTTACAGTCTGCAATGGGTTATTTCCAGTTATTTGCTCCTTCTCTGTCCTGGCACCATGTTTCCCAAAACAACGCACTCAAGTGCTCATCTCAACATTGACCTGGAGGGATCATACCCAGCAGTATCCCACAGTCCTGGGCTGCCAGATATTGGCAATAAGTGCATGAAATATTAAATTACCAATCAGATGCGTTTCCAAGCATGTTACAGCACAGGGAGAAAGGTAGTATGTTCAACAAAATAGCCAGATGAGTTTTAATGTGGATCAGGGGAAAATTGGAAGAGGGGCTGTGAAATATGTTCACTCGAGTGGTACATATAGGAAGACAGAAGATTTGGAATGTGAGGTGAGATTTATTGTGGAAACACACCATTGTTACAGCACTGGATGCTCACTCCACATTGGTGTTTAACAATCATGTGAACAAATAGTCCAAATCACATTTACTCATCCATTTTTCGTTCAACCCCTTATCCTCCTATTTGTTCTGTTCTTGATGTATGGTGTGATATCCCCCCACTGGAGGCGGTGAGAAGGCGACATGATGGGAGGGTGCATTGGCCCTCGAGGGACTCTCACCCCCTTCTCACTACCTCGCTCGACCACCTCCTTGGGCCTGCCCTGTCTGTGCCGACCATGCAGCTATTCTAAACTGATCTTCTGCCCGCACATGGCCTGAATCCCTCTATTCACTGCCCTGTTTGTGTGTCTGTCTAAATGCCCCTTAACCACTGAAGATCTCTAAACATGCCACCTCCTGCCTCCCACCTCCCCATCCACCCCCTCCCAGCAGGTGAGAAAGGTGGCAGATTCTGTGACTGGGAAACTATTGCGATGTGCTTGATGTTTTTTTATTAATTGCTTGGTTGTGGACTGGGTCATGTGGGCTCCAATCAGCCTAGTGTAGGGGCAGTCAGAGCTACACAGCTGCACAGAGTAGCCTCTGAAAGCCAACTGATACCCCACCCCAACACGCTGCCCCCCCCCCCCCCCCCCCCGTCCTCAACCACCCCAACTACCCTGATGGCTCAGTGGCTAGCACTGCTGCCTCACAGCAGCAGGGATCCAGGTTCAATCTCGCCCTCGGGCCACTGTCTGTGTGGAGTTTGCACATTCTCCCCGTGTCTGCGTGGGTTTCCTCCGGGTGCTCCGGTTTCCTCCCACAGTCCAAAGATGTGTAGGTTAAGTGGATTGGCCATGGGAAATTACCCATAGTGTTCAGGGATGAGTAGAATAGGTGGGTTATGGGGGATGGGTCTGGGTGGGATGCTCTGAGGGTTGGTGTGGACTCTTTGGGCCGAAGGGCCTGTTTCCACACTGTAGGGATTCTATGATTCAAAAGGGCATTAAAAATACTTCCCACCAATGGATCCACCGAGAGAGGTAGGCCAAGATTGGCAAACATTAAGGCTCAGGACAGGTTGGCAACTTCTGGTGACCTGGAACAAGGCCTGTGATGAGCTGGGAACCTCACCTGTATTCACCCCCTAACTCTTCATGAACTTATTGGGAGATTACTGTCCGAGTTTTCTCGGAGATGGTGGAACGTGTGATGGAGCCATTTAACACACACTCTCCTGCGTTCCCACCAGCCACATTTAAACAACAGTGGAGACAGTCTTTCTGCATTTACTCTATCAAGTCCCTTAAGAATCTTGTATTGATCAATGAGGTTCCCTCTCACTCTTCCATATTCCAATGAATACAGGCCCAACCTACTCAACTTCTTGTCATGAGACAGTCCCTCTGACAACCAAGTGAAACGTCTCTGGACTGCCATGGTTTGGAGGCAATGGATGTCTGAGACAGGTGGTAGACTGGTAAAATTGGTGCTCAATGGCATTCCTGTTGACCATATAACTGCAGATAATGCCAAAGGGAGTGTAAGGATGGGAAAGAGGAGTTTTCCCGGGCTGCACATGAGGTGGGCAGTGGGAAGACAGGCCAGTTTTACGAGTACAACGGGGGTAGGAGTGCTTGATAGCTGCTTATAAAAAAATATCAATTTCAACCATACAGCAAACTTTTAGACAGCTTGAAACAAAACAGGAATGTTTGCTGTTCACATTAGCTTTCTCCTACATCTTTTCTCACACAGCATTTGCTTTTCTTCTCCACTCAAAGATATCACTTCAATAGGAGGTGTAACTTTCTGTTATGTCTCTGGGTTTTGTAACTCACTTAAAGTCCTATTTATTAAATGTAACAGTTCTTTGGTAACTATGATGTAACTCTGCAAAAGACCAAAAATATCTCTCCATGATTTTTTTTCCAGGAATAGTGTTTGTGCAGTACAAATTCATAAAATACATAATTGTACTGAATAGAGTCTCTTTGTAAACGGTCAACGAATAACCTGTAATTAATGCTTTTTAATGTTTCATGCAATATTAGAAATGTATCAATTATTTTAGAATACAGGTTACTTCATTACAAATTTAAGATTGATTTTCCTCCTTTCATTTGTTATTTCTCCTTTTCTTCCGTGGGATTTCAGGGTCACTGTCAGTGCCAGTATTTATTGCCCACAAGAAGGGGGTGGTGAGCTGCCTTCTTGAACCACTGCAGTCCATGTGGTTTATCCTTTCTGTGCCGGTTAATGCTTGCTCGGCCATCTCGGAGAGCAGTGATGAGCCAATCATGTTGCTGTGAATCTGGAATCTCTCACAGACGACACCGAATAGGCACACAGTATTTTCTTCAGTGAGGAGTATTAGTGAACTAGGTAGGTTCTTTACCATAATCGATGGTGACTTCATGGTCACCATTACCAATTTCAGACTATTTAGATTCCATCAGCCTCCATGAAAGAATAACAGGCTAACTTCCCTCCAATAGAAAAATGGGAGGGCATGCCCTGTCTTCCTTCCATTGTATGACTTAACGTTGGCTTGAAAGAGTCTTTGGTGTTTTTGTGCATTGGCGTGTTTGGCAGATGTACAATTGTTTCCCCTCTGCCATCTCTGTTTAGGTATTAGTGCTAGGTGGTAGGTGTTGAGGTATTAGGACGTTCAAGAGAAGTTTGAATTGGGCTATTTAATGGCTGGTTTGTGATTCAGTAATTTTCTTAATCGTGAATAATCTATCAAACCTGGCATCCGCCAATTGTCAATTCTGCCCTGAGCTGAATTTGAAAACGCTGAATTGAGTGCAGAAGGCCCTTCATGTTTACCTCAATGGGTTCAGACCTTTCCAAGTGCAAAGGAGACATTGACACAATTGAGCATTGATCAGATGGCAAATTTGGTTGATTACTAGTGACAATCAATTACAGTACACAGACCGTGCTGAATTCGCCACCAAACAGTGAGATCCCAGCCCACGCAAGGAAATGGGCCCTTGGTACTGACAGCCTTTCCAAATTGATGTTCAGTCCAAACTGGTTTGCATTAGTCAAAGCCAACCAACTGTTTAAGAACCATCTGAATTGAATTGAATTGAATCATTTATTGTCATGCGTATTCAATATAAAATACAGGGTACGGTTCATACAGTCACCATGCATTGGCGCCATTCTCATTAAGTTAAACTTAAAAAATTTAAACAAAAAAAACAAAAGATAATTTAAAGAGAGGCCAACTTTTCCTCCTCCGTTATCAGCAACATGTGAGCTTTCCTTAATCCTCCTCAATTTGCATGAAGCAGCCCAAGTGAAGAATTGTTTGCTTGTCCACCCAGAAAGGGGCGAAAATGTAGCTGGAAATTCATAAATAACAAGGATTGTTGCCTCAATAATAGATGCAGAGCTCATGTTCCCTCGTATGGGGCAGTCTAGAACAAGAGGTCATAGTTTAGGATAGGACGCGGCAGATTTAAAACAAAGACCAGGAGGAATTACTTCTGTCAAAGGGTCGTAAATCTGTGGAATTCACCACCCCAGAGGGTGATGATGCAGGGACACTGAGTAAATTGAAGGAGGAGATAGACCCATTTTTAATTAGCAACAGGTTAAAAGGTTATGGAGCGTGGGCAGGAAACTGGAGTTGAAGCCGAGATGATCTCAGCCACAATCGTAACAAATGGCAAAGCAGACTCGAAGGGCTGTATTGTGTGCTCCTAGCTCTTATGTTCTTAAGGTTGTTTCATAGACCAAGAGCACTTAGGTCCTGATAGGCACTGCAATTAAAATGTACAATGCTTGTTTCAGAAAGGGAAGCTGAGCCGAGCAGAATCTTCAACATAGCAGCACTGGGTTGACGATTTAGTGAGCAATGTTAACCTGACTCCCAGAACCAGCTCGTACACATGAACCATTAAACTTTGTAGCTGACCATTTGAATAGAATTCTTGTCGCAGAATTAGTTTTATTGTCACACGTGCTCAAATGAGGACAGTGAATAGTTTACAAGTCCTCACTTACAGCACCAATCTCGGGTACCAAGGGACCGATTCGTACGTACAAATTCTTCGGGAAAAGAATGAGAAAAACTAAGAAATCAAACGTCCAGCAATGACAGATCATTGGAATAAAATTAGAAAAACAAAGAAATAAAAAGTTCAAAATAACAGTCCTTCCAACTCAGTTCACAACTCACCTATCCTCTAGTTCCTGCTGGGCCTTGACTCCCAGACTTTGTTGGGCTTCCCTTTGAGTCCCTCAAGGCTGGGAGATTGCTCTGGAGTCCTATTGAGGCTGGAAATCCACGCTGAGGCCACACTGGATCAGGAGACCACCCAGCCGAGCTGCCAGGACACCACCACACTGGGTCTGCACTGAGGCTGGGAGTTCAGGATATCCTGAGAAGAATGAAGGGGAAAAAAAAGAGAAAAAGAAAGGAGGGAAGAAAGGAAATAGAACGGACAGAGTGGACGAGCACAGGGATCGTACTCTGCCGCCATTTTGGAACCTTTTATATTTGGCAACAAGTTTATTCACAATGGCCTGTGTGTGCTAACTTAAAACACTTAACAAACTTAATAATTGAATTTCGCACTTGCCCGATTGCTCGACCTGTGTAAAATCAATTTCGCTGATAAGACCTGGAACAATATTCCTTAATTAGTTTTCAAACTTGACTCACCCTGACCCTGTGAAAGTTTTGCTCGACTACCCTGCAACAGAAATTAATTATTAAACCTTTTGGAGTGGGCCAATTTTGCTTCACCTTGGGACACTCAAACAGCACTTTCGACCAAATGCAGGAATTCTCAGGTTGGAACAGTTTCCTATTCACAGCGACTTTCACCAACCATTAACTCAGTTGAAAAAGAGATGTTTGCTAAATTCTGTGCAACATTTCTGTCTGGGCTCAACAAAACCCAGGTAATAATCTCCTGAGCACCAGCAATAAATCAGATGAATTCCAAAGCAGGGTTACTATGAATTTATCAATCGAGCACAGTTAAGGTGCATTTTTAAGTGATACCAGAATCTGTTCATCGTTCCTGTATACAGAAGAGCAAAAGTGAATTGAAGTAAAATAAGGGGTCACTATGTGATATGCAGATGAAATACCACATGCATCATCACAGGAAGTGATGGAATATCACATTTCTTTATCATAAACTTGCACTCTCACACTCTCGCAACCTTGTGGCAAGATGAAACCACAGATGTTATTACTGCTGGTTATGTTCTAAACAAAATAATTTTCTTTTACTTTGCCTGAGTAGAATTTATTGGCAACACAGCAAAACTAATAATACTATAAGGTACCAAAAACTGACATTGTCACATGTTCCTCTGGTTAGAGGAGAGGCAGTGGTGAGCAAATGTGTAATTGGCTATATTAATGACTGCAGAAAGGCATTGCCAGAAGACGAAACAAAATGCACCATTACAACAACCTATAGAGATCGCCATCAATGACTTCAGTTACTTTGAATGCTGTGGACGGAATGGAAGAGCATTGAACAGAGAGTTTTCAGGGCACTGATCAGTGGCTGTTTGGACCCTCTATCCAGGGCTTTACCCTCCTGCTCCAGTGGATTGCTTTCCACTTCCCACACCAATGAGCTCTGTTAATGACCAAGGCAGTTATTGCCAAATGATTATCTTCTGTGTTAATGGCGAGTGGTGACTGTAAGTCCAGCTGCACAATGCAGGCATTCTTTCAAATTGACTTTTGAGAGCAGAACCGATTCCACAAATAACTGGCTTTAGATGGATCCCCTGCAGTTTGACAATCTCACCTAACTGCCACCCTGGCCCGAAGGGCTCCTGATGTACAACTCCTCTTTTCCAAGAGCGTTTCAGAACCTCGTAGCTGATGATGTTCTTTCTGCAACATGGCATTTCTGTGGGAGACAAATGGTCTGAGTTTAAATATCTTGAATTGCCCCAGATGCGAACAGAACTGCTCCGGAAATGATGGGAGGTCAGCTGATAATATTACTTAACAACTGTTAGCTTCATTGACATTAATATGTTTGAGAGTTGGCACCATTCCATACCAGTGTTTTGCAGAACATTTGGAGAACGGGACCTGATTTTATTCAGTCTTTCGCAGAAGCTAATTAGAATGAAATGGATAATTAAGAATATATTTTCGGCATCATGACCTGTTTAATGGACTGATTTTTCTTTTGTACTCTGTTTCTTTGACTTCCTTGGTGTTACGTTGCCACAGTTGTCATATCCCCAATGGACATACAATGGTGAACCTGCCTTCAGTGTGAGCCAGCCCTTTGATATAAATGTGGAGGCAGCAAGTGTCAGAACATAAGAACTCTGAACAGGAGTAGCCTCTTCCGTCATTCCACACAATCATGGCTGATCCCATCCTGGCCTCCACTCCACTTTCTCACCTGCTCTCTATCTCCATTTCGAGACCAGGGGGCATATTTTTAAGGTGAGAGGAAGAAAATTTAAAAAAAAAGACACGAGGGGCAATTTTTTTTTTCACACAGTGATTCGTATGTGGAGTGACCTTCAACAGGAAGTGGTGGAACCGGGTAGTCACAATGTTTAAAAGACATTTGGAGAAGTCCATGAATAAGAAATATTTGGAGAGATGTGGGCCAAATGTGAGCAGGTGGGACTAGTTTAGTTTGCAACTATGGTCAGTATGGACTGGTTGGACCAAAGGGCCTATTTCCATGCTGTATAACTCTATGACCCAAGACCCTTCAATCCGTTACTAATTAAAAGTCTAACTATCTCCTCCTCAAATTTATTCAGGATCCTGGTGTCCACTGTACTCTGGGGGAGTGAATTCCACAGATTCACAACTCTTCAAGAGAACTAATTCCTCCTCACTCAGAGATAGTAAGAACTGCTGATGCTGGAGTCAGAGATAACACAGTGTGGAGCTGGAGGAACACAGCAGGCCAGGCAGCATCAGAGGAGCGAGAAAGTTGACGTTCCTCAGAAGGGCCCCAACCCGAAACGTCAACTTTCCTGCTCCTCTGATGCTGACTGGCTTGCTGTGTTCCTCCAGCTCCACACTGATTTATATCTAATTCCTCCTCATCTCTGTTTTAAATCTGCGACACTAAAGCTATTACCCATCTCATTTGAGATTGCCCCAGAAGAGGAAATTTCCTCCCTATGTCCAATTTGTCAATCCCCTTTCATATCTTATATACCTGAATTAGAACTCCAGAGAGGGTAGGCCTAAGCGGCTCAATCTTTCCTCGTAAGACGAGCCTTTCGTTTCTGGAATTAATCTAGCGAACCCACCCTGAGCTGCCTCCAGTGAAATTGCATCAGGATAGGGCTGAACCTTTGTTTGGCTTTGGAGTGAGCCAAGCAGCGATCTGGTTTACCAGCACCAGGTCCTGCCACGCACCGTTAGTTTGGTAGAGGTGATTGCCAAAGTTCTCTGTAATCTTATTGACTGTTGCACAGAGCCCTGAGGTCCATATACAGCAGTGCCCTCCAAATGCAGGCACCAATTGTTGACATGTTGATTGACGTGCATGGAGCTTCCCAGGGACACAGTCAGACAACTTAGCAGGAAGATAGTGATGCCTCAATGTGGTGGGTAACAGATTCAACCCCTTATGGGTTTCATTGAGGGCACCCTCCTGTCCCCTGACCAGGGTTTTCACTTGGGACCTGGGGTTACCCATTGCGATGGGGCCCTCTCCATCAGCCTTGCGATATGAAACTGAGAGGGTTAATGCTGAGGTATGCTGTAGGATCACTCTCCATGACAATATCACATGGACTTAGGATGTGAAATGAATGAGACCCTAATGTCTCGCCCTCCTCAAAAGTTTCTGTAACAATGTCCATCAGGTCAATGTAACCTGTAGCTAGTTGCCTACATGCAAAAAACTAGGTCTTGTTAATGACAATGGACTCTTCTGGTTGGACCAGGAAGTGGTTTTCCTCTCCTGCACTAGACCATTGCAGACCTTGTAGCTTCCAACACTTAGTGGATGGTGACAGCAAACTTCACCATGACCCTCGGCTCCTACAGCGTGGCATGGCCATGCAACATGGTAAGCAGCAGTGTGGATTCGGTTTGAAGGCTCAGACACCACATGGTCAGCAGCTTTGTGGAATCTTTAGATTCAGCTTGTGGTTACATGCCAAACAGAGGAGCTAAAGATTTAAGAATCTTACAGAAGAGACCTTTGAGGATTGACACAAAAAGGAAGAATATGCCAGTGAATGGCAAACGTCTGGTAAAGGGTGCACAGCAGCAGGAGAGTTAGCAACTCCAAATTAGATGTGGTCTGCATTGTGAGGCCGTGGCTGATAGAGTCATAGAGATGTACAGCACAGAGACAGACCCTTCAGTCCCACTTGTCCATGCTGACCAGAAATTCTAAATTAATCTAATCCCGTTTACCAGCATTAAGCCCATATCCCTCTCCAGCCTTTCCTATTCGTGTACCCATCCAGATGCCTTTTAAATGTTGTAATTGTACCAGACTCCACCACTTCCTCTGGCAGCTCATTCCATACATGCACCACACTCTGCGTGGAAAAAGTTGCCCCTTAGGACCCTTTTAAATCTTTCCCCTCTCACCCTAAACCTATGCCCTCTAGTTTTGGACTCCCTTACACTGGGAAAAAGACTGTGGCTGTTTATCCTATCCATGCCCATCATTATGTTACAAACCTCTATAAGGTCACCCCTCAGCCTCTGATGCTCCAGGGAAGATAGCCCCAGCCTATTCAGACTCTCCCTATAGCTCAAACCCTCCGACCCTGGCAACACCCTTGTAAATCTTTTCTGAAGCCTATCAAGTCTAACAACATCTTTGCTATAGCAGGGAGACCAGAATTGAATACCGTATTCCAAAAGTGGCCTAACTAATGCCCTGCTTTACTGTCTAAAACTCTCCAGTGGCGCCTGTCAGATTTACAACGTAGTCATGCACCAGAGGACTCATTATAGTTCCCAGTATGTGTCTTTACTGCTCCAAATTATGAAAGGGAATGGCATTTTGTCCACTAAGCATTGTCTGTAGCTGAAGTTTTTTTTTTAATGGTTTCTTTTTCTTATTAAAAACCTAATTCAAAGATAACTACTTGTGTTATTTTTATGACCCATTTGTAAGTATGATCAATATTTCTTTCCTTGCTTATAGCAGTCAAATCCAGTGAGAATGAGGAAACATTGCTAAATCAATACTAGCTTCACATATTAACTTGCATGAAAATGTCTACTGAATGTTTTGGGAATTATGGACTGTTTTATTATTTGCCATTGGAGCTTTAGGTGCTGCTAGGATCCAGTTTGCCATCTTTGCACTGGTCTAACGTTGGATCTTCATTCATGTTGGCACGTTATTCCCACAGGATTCCATCCCATTCAATAATAGATCATAGATCATAGAATCCCTACAGTGTGGAAACAGGCCCTTGGGCCCAACAAGTCCACACCAACTCTCAGAGCATCCCACCCAGAACCATCCCCCTAATCTACACATCCCTGAACCCTATGGGCAATTTAGCATGGCCAATCCACCTA